TATCTGCAGTAAATGAAGCAGCATGATCGCTGAGTTAAGCAATTTTAATATTGGATAGATAATGAATGAATCTTATACAGAGTTTAAGAATATGTTGGTTTCTTATAATGTGGTGTCTTGCTGGAAAGACAATTGGATACGGTGCAGGAATTGGGAAGGACTGTACAAAGGAGTTTCTTTAGGCTGTATTTGATGTAGCAATAAATGAACGTCGAATTAGGGATATGTTCGTTACTTACGTCAGTAAGGCTCACGTGAATAGAGACCGACTAGAGAATTTGTTAACTTATTTTAATGGTGACAAAGTTCTAGCTAGGTATGTGCCATGTTAGTTACAAGGTTACAAATATTATAGGAAAAAGTATATTGAACATTTTCCATTGTCTAAGTACAATTTTATATACATGTCGTTTCGAGTGTTAGATTCAACTCCTGAATCGTTTGTGTAGGTATATTTCTAGATATACCAAATATAATGGATAGTGTCCAACATTGTATTTCTGTAATGAATCTGCCATTTTTACAAAGCTTTGTAGGAGATCATAAATTATAAATATCGTGTATGAATTTAAAGACAAATGTAAATTTAGCAGTACTTTGACATAATATTCAGGCTGTGTAAAGGAATGGTGGATGAAATTATGCGTTGAGATAGATTAGAGAGATGTAACCTGTTCCCCACTGTTATTTCTATTTAGATAACTTATAAATATTTAATGAAAGTCAGGATTTTATAAATTGTTCTTTACAGTACACATTTTTATTGCGTTATATAGAATTCGTAGTATAATATAAAACATGGTGGAAATGAGAAAATTTTATTGCTTTACAAATTTTCCACCATCTCTCTTGTTACAGTGTTGTCTTCTGATAACCATGGTTCCATGAAACTGTCCTTACGGTGTCGCTGAGACTTGGCGCTTCAAATCGAAAAGAAAAACCACAAAAGTTTTGTGCCCAATTCCGTTCCATTTTCCTGGCGGAGTCAGTCTATCTATCCCGTGTTGAATGGCGTAGTCGCAAGCTCTCTGATTTCGTTTAAGATAATTCCGTGTCACTCCCCACCCCGCAAATCTTAACTTAAAAGTTTGCGCCGTGGACCTTTCCGTTCACTGATGCATGCTGATGGGATATTTTTCAAGAAGTTGGAATTGAGTATTAAATTGCTTTTCGAGTGTCAATTAACTTTGCATTTCACACAGGTTGAAGCCCGCGCAAACATATATGATATCCGCGTAGAGAGAATAAAGAGTGTAAGAGGAGACGTAAGGAATTAAGAAGGCTGGGAACGAAGAAGGAAAGATGGAAAATGTTTAAAGAGGACATGAATAAAAGTAGGAAATAAACAGGTAATCTTAGAAGGAAGTAAACGGTGAAACGTAAGAGAAAATAAAGGAAAGCAGAAAGAAGGAAGCAAATTTGAAGGGATGGAAAGGAGAGAAGAGAAAATATGATTACAGAAACGGTGATGCGCGACGTGTGTCCCTTATGATGGAGGCAGTACGCACTTCTGAAGCGTTGTAAACTTCTACGAGACTGCAACGAGCAATGTTTCAGAATGCTGTTATCTCATTTAAAAACTGTTCCCTAGACAAAAAAATTATCTGTGACGGAGTACGGGTCTCTTTATTGTTTAAATATTTTGAGATATTTTCCGATGTGGTAAATATAATACAAGGAAACAATTTTCTCAGGCTGTGCAGTAGGTCTGTGGGCTATCTACAGTATGATTAGCGAAGAAACAATAGATTTGTATCTGCAGTAAATGAAGCAGCATGATCGCTGAGTTAAGCAATTTTAATATTGGATAGATAATGAATGAATCTTATACAGAGTTTAAGAATATGTTGGTTTCTTATAATGTGGTGTCTTGCTGGAAAGACAATTGGATACGGTGCAGGAATTGGGAAGGACTGTACAAAGGAGTTTCTTTAGGCTGTATTTGATGTAGCAATAAATGAACGTCGAATTAGGGATATGTTCGTTACTTACGTCAGTAAGGCTCACGTGAATAGAGACCGACTAGAGAATTTGTTAACTTATTTTAATGGTGACAAAGTTCTAGCTAGGTATGTGCCATGTTAGTTACAAGGTTACAAATATTATAGGAAAAAGTATATTGAACATTTTCCATTGTCTAAGTACAATTTTATATACATGTCGTTTCGAGTGTTAGATTCAACTCCTGAATCGTTTGTGTAGGTATATTTCTAGATATACCAAATATAATGGATAGTGTCCAACATTGTATTTCTGTAATGAATCTGCCATTTTTACAAAGCTTTGTAGGAGATCATAAATTATAAATATCGTGTATGAATTTAAAGACAAATGTAAATTTAGCAGTACTTTGACATAATATTCAGGCTGTGTAAAGGAATGGTGGATGAAATTATGCGTTGAGATAGATTAGAGAGATGTAACCTGTTCCCCACTGTTATTTCTATTTAGATAACTTATAAATATTTAATGAAAGTCAGGATTTTATAAATTGTTCTTTACAGTACACATTTTTATTGCGTTATATAGAATTCGTAGTATAATATAAAACATGGTGGAAATGAGAAAATTTTATTGCTTTACAAATTTTCCACCATCTCTCTTGTTACAGTGTTGTCTTCTGATAACCATGGTTCCATGAAACTGTCCTTACGGTGTCGCTGAGACTTGGCGCTTCAAATCGAAAAGAAAAACCACAAAAGTTTTGTGCCCAATTCCGTTCCATTTTCCTGGCGGAGTCAGTCTATCTATCCCGTGTTGAATGGCGTAGTCGCAAGCTCTCTGATTTCGTTTAAGATAATTCCGTGTCACTCCCCACCCCGCAAATCTTAACTTAAAAGTTTGCGCCGTGGACCTTTCCGTTCACTGATGCATGCTGATGGGATATTTTTCAAGAAGTTGGAATTGAGTATTAAATTGCTTTTCGAGTGTCAATTAACTTTGCATTTCACACAGGTTGAAGCCCGCGCAAACATATATGATATCCGCGTAGAGAGAATAAAGAGTGTAAGAGGAGACGTAAGGAATTAAGAAGGCTGGGAACGAAGAAGGAAAGATGGAAAATGTTTAAAGAGGACATGAATAAAAGTAGGAAATAAACAGGTAATCTTAGAAGGAAGTAAACGGTGAAACGTAAGAGAAAATAAAGGAAAGCAGAAAGAAGGAAGCAAATTTGAAGGGATGGAAAGGAGAGAAGAGAAAATATGATTACAGAAACAAAAGTCTTAGAATGACGAATTTGTGATTGGTGGTTTATTTCAGCTGCAGTAGTTATTTAGCGCTGGATGACGCACGGCTTCTGGTTATAATTGGGTTCCGAAGGACGTGCTTCACCTTGCACAGTGATTTTATCTTAAAAATGTACGTTCTGTCTTATGTTTATTAACTAACTAACTAGATGGCTTACCGAATCCGAAGGTTCATCACCGAATTAACCAAAGCCCTCCACCGGACCCTGTCCTGAACCAACAAAATCCAGTCTCCTTCAACTCCTATCTCCCATAGATCCCGCCTGACAATATCCTCCCATCTACGTCTAGGTCTCCCCAGCGGTCTCTTCCCCTCAGGCTTCCCGACCAACACCCGGTGCACAACCTCTTGTCCCATCCATGCGTGCTGCATGCCCCGCTCTTATGTTTATTAGGTAGTTAAAAGTTGTCTCTGCCACCGATCATCACCATAATTATGGTGGTGTTGATGATAACAGTATTATTAATGATGATGATGATGATAATGTATTTGGCATACGCTTTATCATCGGAGTGAAGATGATAACTCAGTTCCGTTCAGTGTAATTAATTTATTGAGACGCTTGGCATCAGTTAAAAAGGAAGAACGAGACAGGCACAGAAAGGCAGAGAACACGTGATAAAAACAAGATTAATCGGGCCTAACGCCAAAACAATAACTTCGTTAGAATGAATGTTTCTTTAGATATGGCTATCGTAGGCTAATATTAGCAGCATTAATAACAGTACCGAGAACTAATTGTTTTAATATACCCGTCATAACTTCAGAAAACACGTCTTTGCACTTCAGATTTTTTCTTAAAAATTTTTTGATTAAAATTTAGCGCCGTTGTTACGTATTGAAGCATCATCACGAGCAGTTTGATTGACGGGAATTGTCCTGTTTTTTAATTAAAAGTAAATATGTCTGTACTCGCCGACGTGCTGTTTTGTAACCGTCACTTGTTCGTATCATCCGGCGTATCGATGTGACATCACATTCTGTAGCAAGCGTCTTTTATTTTACGAAGTTGTCTCCTCCATTTAAACAATTTTTATATCAGCGTTATTTATCATGCCACTTTGTTTGTGTTTGTTTTTCCTGAACTGAAAATGTCATTTCGAGGAACGTGTTCATTCTTCGGGAACCTCGTTGCTACGGTGAATTACATACTCTTCCAAGTGACGGGTTGCTTTACTTTATTCAGCCTTGCCATTCCTATGTGCTGATCATGTTTTATATAAAATTGTTTACCAAGAAATTCAGTAAATTTTACGTATGATTTCTTGCATTTGCTGTAGAAACACTTCAATAATGTAAATATGAAACTGGTATATCTCACATATGAATAAACATAGATTATTAACACCACATGTGATTATATAAACAGTGCCTGTTTTGGCATGTATCCATCATCAGGTACGTTTGTATGTCCTGCCCACACAACACGATGCAACCGTTTAAAAATACTTCAGTAACGATTGTTTGCAAAATTACTTTACTATATTTCAGGATTTAGAGAAGTTATGAAACAACACATCTTGGAGGCTGTCCGATTTTGTGAATTAATTCATAAAATAAGGATACTTGTACACTTCGGGTTTAGCCTGAGCATTAAAATTTGTCAGTCGGCACTGGATGGGATTAAAACCTGTATCTACACTATAAAAATCTAATATAATATTGTCTTCTTGTGTGAAACATATTATTATTACATCACTATCCTTAAAATGTGTTTCATTCCCCTGTAACTCTGTTTTATTTATTTTCAGGTTTTGGATTCGTCACATTTCAAAGTGAGGACGTCGTAGATAAAGTCTGTGAAATTCACTTCCACGAAATCAACAATAAAATGGTAAGTAAGACCATATATCCAGTATTATTAATGTTACAATTCGCAGGTGTGCTCTTACAACTGTGTCCCTCGGAAAACTGCCAAAGAATTAATGGACGCAGGTGTAATTAATACTATTGCTAATTCCATGGTAAGCCTACGTTATATTTTTCAACAGAATATAACTGGTATAAAGTCCTGCTTTTCTGTGACCCGTAGGATGATTACTTGTCTGTAAAATTCCACCATTGGACCTTATCTGGAGCTAATTAAAAAAATTTAATTAAAAGTACTGTTCGTATTCGAATTCGTCCGTAAGTGAAACAATTTATAATACGAATATAACAGATACACAGGGTTTTTTTTTTTCACGATTGAATTTTATTTAGTACTTGGCAATTTAAGAGGCTCTAAATCGATAAGACGACTCGATACACAAATGAATGTCTCGACTTCCATACGGGATTCCTTGTCGATTGAGAAACGTAGTATGTTTTACCATGGTTACAACAGTTGAGTGAGAGAACTTTTATAACTGCCTTATTTTTTCTATCCTCGTTTCCTTTTAGCTAGTCAGTAGTCCGTACCCTTGTTTGTGGTTGTTTGAATTATTTGTGAATAATCAGATTGTATGGTTATCGCTTTTATTCGATTCGAACCTCATTTCAGACGTTGCTTTGTATATTTGAAGGAACCCTGCTCAAATGTGACGATATTGTTTCTTTGTTGTAACTGCAAGTTCAAAACTGGATGCTCAACAGCCCCCACTTACTGTCAGGTGGCAGGGTAACACTAGTTTTTAACTAATGTTGTACCTGCAGGAAATACAAGAAACTGCATTCTGCTTCTTAAGGGTTGTCCAACATTTTTCTTCCCTTGGGCCAAGATCCTTTGGACCCAAGATCCAAAATACACTTGCTTATACTATTTTTAAAACTAGTGGCAAATTTTCGTTACTTATTTGTAAATTACCGATTACTATAAAGTTAGGTATTATTTTCAAAAATGTCCTGCAATAGCTTGTATCTGACGTAATTTTGTCTTGGACAACTTAAATTTTACGTTGTGATTTTAAAGTAAATGACATGTGTGGTACTTCTTCGTGAAGTGTCAGACGAGATAAGGATCGTGTTTTTTGTGCAAATCCACCGGAACAAGGGAAGTAAACGGCTTGTAGTAGTTGGTAACAAATTAACAAATAATTTCGCGAACCCGGTTAACATGTGGTCTCTGACATTGGATGTGTCCGTAAGCCGCCAGTTAGACCTACTGCCGTTATCAGACAGTTCGATCCTGCAATGCGCCTAATCGAATTTTGTAAAAAAAAAAAAAAAAAAAAAAACTTTTGAATGCTGTGAATTGTGATACGAAATGGTTCCTTGAATCAGAAAGCTTTTGAATCTGCTGTTGTACAGGATCTCCGTGTTTTGATGTCCTCAGAAACTTGGAGTGACAGTCTAGGCCTACTCTTAAAGTAATGATTTCAGCTTCAGTAACCTTTCCAAACGAGCCTGTCTGGCGGTAATCAGTGCCTTGTATTGTTGCGAGGAACTGACGTATGAGAACTTGTTACTCTCGACTCCAGGATCGCGGTATTAACTGAGCTAAAATCTCCTGCTGCAAGTCCTGCCACATTAATGTACATCCTCGTTTCCTTAATACGAAATAGGAAGGTTAGTGAGGAACTAAAGTGAATTTCAAGATAGATGAGATGAGAAAGTAAAGAAGATTTACCCCCTCTTCTCAGCCCTCATACACTCAGACAGCCTTTGAAGAGGAAAGTGCTTTGTCAGGACCTTATATCTCACTTTGCCCCACTTCTGTCTAGCGAGTCTCTTAAACAAGGATATTGCTTATGCTGTGCTTTAAGGTATAGTGGTTTATTGAGTCAATCATTTGTTGGTTATTTAACGACGCTGATTAAAATGTATATCTTTATGTTGTTGAGTGAATTTGGAAAATGATCATGAATCTTGTGTTGGCTGAAGTGTCGAGGTCTAGTGATTAGCATTTAGGAGGTCTGGCTATTTCCAGACCGAGATTCGAATCGGGTACCTCCGGAATACAAGTCATACTCGTGGTGGGAAGTCGATAAAGAGTGAGAAGGGTTTTGCGAGATGAGACGTATCTCTCTCAGGTTTGTTGTTTTATTCAGGCACGCATCTAAAATCCAGTACAAAGAAAGTATTGGGGTTTATTATTCCAACAAAGGACAATTTTATGTAAATAATATTTAATTGTTCAGATCCTACCCCCATTATAACACGAGTCATCGATAGGAGGACAACTTTTTCTGTCATTTTGGGAAAAGCTTTTTCTGCTTATTATGAGTAACAAATGAAACTCAAGAATGGTTACGTGAACTACATACGGAATTACAAAACGTTAAATCAGGTGATGCATATAGTTACCACTATTTTACACAAGGTTATACAGCATTTCGTTCACATACTGCGCGTGCGCAATGCTATTTTGAAGACATTCGCTCTTAAGATTTATTTCCTGCGCTGTTAAACGATAACGTATACAGAGAGTATTGATGGATGTTAAAACACGACGTTGTAGCAACCAAGATGGTATTAAACATTCATAATCAATTCGTATTTGGTATTTCAGGAGGCATTTGTTATACAAACTGAGTACGGACCGATGTTTCATATCGGTACTTCCATTATGACATCACGAAAATGTATTTTCAGGGAATTTTATTCAGATATACACCCAAGCTATATCATATAGGTCTACGTGTTTTTGCTTTAATGTTTAATCGTATGTAAACTGACAGAAGTTATTCTTTGAATTATTCATAAAATAAACAACCAAAGTAAATCGTTGTTAAATTTCAGAGACAAACCAGACGTATATTTTAAATTATAGTACCAGCACAGTTACGTAATTTAGTCAACCAGTAAACGTTTCATAATGATTCCCCCGAGGTACTTACCTTGTCGTACATTTATACCTACATGTATTTTAGATCAATTCTTCACTACGTACTGTAAAGAACGGACACTGAATTATTCTTATCTAAATTTAGGTTTCTTCCGTTGTTTACCACGCGTGTCTAATCTTGGAAATACAAAATAGATCGCGTCATGCATTAAACCGAGGCGGCAGTGGACATAGATGGTTCTGTGCATTGCATCATGTGGTTTCCTAGCAACAGTGAGGCAGACATAATGGTAGAAAATATTTTACATGATGTATTAAATGTTTTAATGATATATGTGCGAGGTATACTCGGTGGAAGCTTCAGATCACATTTGAAACTTATTTTTTATGCTACCTGATTCAAACTGAAAATGGCACGAAGTTAAAATGTTGTCAGATGTAGTGTATGTCTTGCGTTTGAAAATTTGTATATTATGACACGTGCAACACATTTTATGTGTCACGCTGTTCTGTGTGTGTGGTCGTTCCTACCGATATGATGTCATCGCCTTAACGACTTGTTTGGCGGAAAGCAGTTATGAAAGGCGCTCTATCTACAGGGCAGATTTGTTCACGCATGGGGTGGAGAAGCTGTCATACATAATGAAACCGGTGAAGCAGGGGTTAAATCTTCTTCTAAGCCGGATGTGAAAACCTCATTTAAAAGCACACAAATGCCAGCGACCGCAGATCTTCATAATTTGGAGAGAAATTCAATCGGTACCTGAAGCTAAACCATATTTTATACCCTGAAGATGGCTGTTTTTTGGGTTATAGCGCTGTATAGGTCTGATAGATGTTTATCAACGTTTCAGAGATCCTTGCTGCCTCCATCATCAGGGCAACCAGCCTTACCAGACCATTTCGGGCCCAGTTATTAAGGAAAGGCCATGGCCGAGATTTCAGGTTCTCGGTTTTTTCACCTTGCAGTCTGCTAGTTATTGACCGACATGTCAAAAGTGCTCACTGCCTCTTCTGAAACGTCCGTCAGTATCTATCAGACTACACAGTAAATATTGCAGAATTTATCAATCTTTGTTTAGAAGGCAATTCGTTTCTAAACAATAGAAACATGACAACAACATAATAATTATTAACTATCAACTATGATCCTGGTAGCAGGACCCAGAAGTTCAACACTTAATACGATGGGCATGATCCTAAGCTACTTCCACCCACCTTTTCGCCTCTCACACTGCCTAAATTCAATCTTAATGTTGTAACATTCTGGGAATCTGCCTACGTTTTAGTGGTTCTTACTGACAGCATCACCAGGACAGTGAGTGTACTCATCGCCCTGATGATGGCGGCAGTAAGCACCTTTGAAACATTGGTCAGTTACTGTCAGACTTCACGGCGCGACATCTCAAAAGACAAGAATCTTCATATCGTATCCCTGATAGTGTTAAATATCCTTTTAATATTGTCTTCCCATTCTTTCCGTCGATGATTCCTCGTCTGTTTCGTAACTCTAATAACCCCCCAAGGTAACATTTACAAATCACAATCCTAATCTGCTTGCTTATGTACTTCCGTCGACTGTGTATAAAATTTATCTCTTTCTGGACGCAAATTAAACTCAACAGTTGATGCAGCGTCTGTAAATTTTCCACGAACCAACATATTTTATTCTCTAACTTCGTGACAGAGTTTTACACGAGTACTGGTTACACCCTACTGTTGAAATCTTTGTCTAATAAATTCCAGCAATCCCACATATTTGTTTCGTGCGTGAGTTTAATGAGAATTCAGGCGGATCATGGGGCCTAGATATAAATATTCTATCTGTGATATATGGCAAACTTAAAGTACATTGTCGGAATCCGTACTAGTGAAAATGACTCATAGTACTAATCAATATATTTTTACAGAATACATCCATATACATTGTAGCAATGTATACGTCAGAAGCTGTTTCCATAACTTCTTGTTTAAGCATTCGATTTGCGCATTATTTCAGCTCTTAATCCATCTAGTGTTTGGGACGAACTAACCTCTCTTCTACATTTAAATAAGTCGACTTTGCTCTCTGTCTGAACAAAGTACCGTGTCTGTTGCTGTTCAGAAGCAGTTGGATGGGCGTGCGGAATAAGAGACGCGTGGAATTTCACGCCACTTGAAATCACATCAACAACAGACATACACACACTTGTCTTGTTATTCTGGAATTGTGGCTTTTGGGAAATTAATACAAACAATATAACAGCATATGTCATTTTAAGTTGAAGTAGCTCTACAGTGTCATGTCAAACCATAACGCCTTGTCAAGTTTGTTAGTGAAATTCCTGCAGACGCTCACAAGTGTAGCAACTCCACACCACTGTAGTTCCAACATCTCGGCCGTGACGTAATATCTGTCGAGGAAGTTTTCGGAAAACGAAGTGTGCGAATTAATGTTAAAAATAAACCGTCTAGTGTTCTCTGGCAGTTGTTATAATGAGCAATGTGTAAGGTTACATGCTTTACGTAGCGAAATATCATGTTATCACCGCGGCGAGAATGAAAAATTCTTTCTTCTGGGTTGTTGCGCCGTGTAATCTGGTAGACATTTACCGATGTTTCTCAGGTACTTCTGCCTCCAACATCGCCCTGACGTTTCTGAGATGCTTTCTGCCTCTGTCTCGGCTGAGAAGGGACTCTCTTTTACGTGCTACACTTATCCTGGCTCTTGGAGACCCACATAACCTCCTATCAAATGGCTGTCCGGGATTAAGCCAACGTAGCGTGAAGCTACCTACTTAACTGCATAGAGTACCTACGTCTGGAGTACATGCAACTCTGCCTGTCATTTCATGCTCCCGGACGCTTTCTAATTGCTTATGAATTGAACTAGTTTCTTATAAACTTGTCTTTCTCGTATATCGTATATCTCGTATACATGTTGGTACTTTGCAAACAATGGCCGTATATTTGGAAATTCAGTACTTAAAATTACAAGCCATGGGCGGATCAAGAACGGTTTAAGTCTGACTGTCATGTCTCTGAGCCGTGTTCTTCAATGCCTGTCCTGTTGATATGTGGTAATAGTCGTAATCCAGAGATACTGGGTTAACATACAAACGTATACAGGAGCCAACCCGTCCGCCTGTAATCTCTGCAACCCATATGGAGGCATGTGATAGTCTATAGTAACAAGTGTCATGATAGCCAGCCACTCTCCTCTGACAAGTTAAATAAGTTACTACAGTTTTTGTTCTTAATGAAATCCCGCCCGCCTTGTATACCAAATACAAGCAGGCATAAGCAACAAACTATAGCAGATACTGAGTTTAATTAATGATTAAGTTTTATAATGACGATGTTTGAAATCTTGATACCCTTCATGCCGTGCGGTTATATAAATAATGTTCCGTAAGCCAACCATCTTTATACACTGTTTATTGGCATAACGGATGCGTTTCGGTCTTTACAAGACCATCTTCAGTGTTCAATGTTTATATATTTTGTTTGGGTAAAATACCTCCAGTAATGAGACTAGTGTAACATTATGGTTGGATTTGACTCGTTAAAACATTACATTTTAAAAGCAATTATTAACATAAACAATTTAAAACATTTGAATATTAAGACATTCCCTGGAATATGTTTTAAAATTAACTTGCAATAAGGTGTTTTTTCTGTACTACATCGTAATATAGAATACATTATTTATGTCACACTACTTCCACTTCATACTTAGTTTATGGATTTCACGTTCATATTTATTAGCAACATTTATTGTTTAAAAGTGGTTTGATTACTTAACGTTATAAAGACGTAATTAAATGTGTAAGAATCAGATAATGTTTTAAAGTCCAGGAAAAATAAATGTAGAAGGCGGCTGTCTCTAGATTGAAGGACCAAGTGGTAATTATGCGCACCATTTTTAAGGCCAAGGTAGACTTCTTTCAAGCTTTCGAAAATTGAAACTAGCTCTACCAGGGGGCCCACCACGTTATTTCCCCTCTCCGGTTACTTGAAGACGGAAGCAGAACTGTTTCCGAAACGTGGTTTTAAACACAAACACTTATGGTTGGATAATTCATAGGATTGTTTATTATTCCACCTTGAGGTTTCTCCTGCGTCCTTAGGTCGAATCGTCATGTGCGTTGTTACAACCGTCGGACATGTGTTGCAGGTGGAGTGCAAGAAGGCTCAGCCCAAGGAGGTGATGCTGCCCGCCAACCTGGCCAAGACGCGGGCCGCCGGCCGAGGTGCATCCCCATCCCAACCGCCGCGGGCCCGCACCCCGTGGGGGTGGGTCTCCATACCGCCATGGTCCCCATAGCTGTCGCCCCTCCCAGAGCCGCTACCAACCCTAACTGCCTTCAGTACACGCCGGCCACGAATCTGTACAACATGGCGGGGGCGGTGCAAGCTGCCGCCTCCTGCAAGCGCGCGTTTGCTGCCGCGTTGCGTCCCCACCCCACTCCGGCCACTGCCGCCGCCCTTACGTACAGTATGAGTGACTTGCTCGGGGTTCAGGGGTTGGATGTGTCCGCTATGTATCACCCAACTGTTCCTGCCGCCGTAGGCCTCTGACCCATGTTCACCCCTTTACCAGGGCCCCAGTGAAGAGGAGAGGGTGTTCTTTCCGCTGTAGTGCCAAACTACGACACCACACCCCCTTTCATGCAACCTTTACACGTAAAAAATACTGATAGCATCATTCAGGACAACATGTCTGCATTTGTCGGTAAAGTTACATTTTCATGCTTTTGCAAATTGTATGGTGTCTTCCTCTTGATGATGCCCACATCATCAAAAGCGTTAATGTCGATATAACTCCTGTTGGTCCCATGTATTCATAGCTCAACAACCTCGTCAAGAATACATGGGTCATGTTCCGGTTTCATTAAACTTTCTTGTGACTCTGGTCGTCAGGTGTCACGTACAAGTTTGAATAGCGTTTGATTTAAATGCATTTAAAGCCTTGTCACAGCCCATCAGTTTAGTGTCTGCATCCAAAATGTCGGTCACATGACTTCCAAAGTCATTCAAATACGTAACGTATCATTCCGACACAGTTGAAGGCGGCGGATCGAGTCACGCTGTCTCCTCTCACTCCCCTCCCACACCCCCTCCTCTAAATGCGACGTAATTTACTTCAGTTCAGGGATGAAACTGTGATTTCTATTTTGTGTAGAGTAGTAGTGTTAGTAGGGGATTTATTTATGATTCTTGGAACAATAGTCCAACCAAAGCGGCCTCACTATTTAAAGTAGGATCGTAGTGTTGCATTTCAAGACTGGTTAGAAATGCTTTCTTTTTATGTAGCGAAGTAAGGCCTGGTTTCACTGCCTACGATATACAGTAAATTACTTAAATGCCTTCAGGAGGAATGATCCTGTGTTAATTTTTAATATGTACGCGCCCATAGTACTGTAATGTTATTGGAGTGTCTTAAAATTCAGAGCAGCGTCATTTAAGTGCGCTTTGATGTGTTCAGGATTCAGGACCTCTGAATTATCAGATTTAGATGTTTGATAGAATTTCTGTATGTAATCTGTCACTAATTACATACTACACCGTAATAATTGAAAACGGGTCACCCTAACTGGGATGTGAGATCTAGTACGATATAATTTATAAAGTTTTTGCGTAGTTAAATTTTCGATGTAATATTGGTATAGTGTATAGTGTAGAAGAATCCATCTCGAGAAAAACGATGCAAATGAAAACTTCGTAAATATGGCTCTTCTAGCGAGGTGAATAAGAATTTATTATGGCATATTGTGCTCATAACCGGAAGAGATTGTACTAGGAGTTGTACCGAAGTACGCACTTTGAAACAAATTAAAAATTTGTGTGTACTGTTGAGAAATGTAGTCGATAATCATATATAGTTTAGAGAATTTTGTCACAGTTTATTAAACGTAGTAGGCCTACATATATAAGTAGAAGGAAAGGAATATATATATAAACATCGTTATTTTTATAAAGTTATATATACTGAAATGTTTATTTTTTTGTGGACTGTGGTAGAACCAGGCCTGTGTAGATTGGGAAGGGAGTGAGTACTCGTTAGAATAACAAATACACCAGAATTAAAAAGTAATGTTAACTTGTAGTTACATTAAATTCGGTAGCCCTACCAGTCTGATAGATTTTTAGTATTATACCTAGATGTGCGATCATTTATGTAGCACTAATTTTACATGTTATAATCAAATAGATGATACAAAGCGGTGACCAATGGTAAATAATAATATTAATAAGATCCTATAACCCGCTTCCCAGCTTGCACCGCCCATATGCCGTGTCGACTTTATTCGCGGATTTTTCAAGACAGTTCAAATTGTCAACCGCATTCCGCTGCCACATTGTTCACTAGTGTGATTAGAGAAATGGGAAAGAAACGTTGAAGAATTTATTTTGAAGATTATGCTTTTATTCAAGGTCATGGTTACAGCCGAGATTATGAACTTTACCAAGAGGTTGAATATTATTTGTTAAATGCTAGCAGCTTATATTACGTGTGGCAATATCAAATGTGTGAATTTGTTGTTGCAGTCATCCAGTGTTTATCAATATTCTTCGCTTATGATATTACGTTATCGATATTTAAAACTATACATTTTGACGATCTCAAAGAGATATTTACTGTAATTGCTTTGCTTAGGTCCAGCTTTTGAAGCCCACATTGTTTGACAACAAACAATTTCGCAATAATACGACGATATCAAGAGAATATCACACGTATATACAACTATTCGATATTTTCATTGTCTAAAAATACTTCACTCTATGTGTAAAGTAATTGATGTCTTCTCAATATAATCATATTATTTTTATCTTTTTGTATGACATAATATCTCGTAAAGTAACGTTTTCTTGGTTGGTAATTTGAAGTGAAATAAGGTGAAAGGAAGAAAGTCCATGCTGTTTGAAATTATTTATGCTGAGTACTATATTTTACCATTTGAATTCAAAATTTAAGCGCAAGGTAACACGTGCAAAGTTAGATTGAAAGTTTAACCGTGTTTTTGCGAAATGGATATCGTAATTCACAAATGTATTCTAAGCGGTTATCGTTGTATGAAACTGATATTCTTACCCAAAAACAACAATGGCTATCTACCATTGTCTTAACTTTCACCTTAATTCCGTGTAAACCAGATTAATAATAACTGTAATTCCAATGTTTACATCTAGTTTATGTAACTATAAATATCTGAATTTAATTTAAAACACTCATGAAATTTCATAATTGTCTATATGATATAACTCTTATAATATTCTAGAGACAGTGTTGTCTAAATATGTGGTGACAGTGTTTCAAATCCTAGAATTGAAACTAAAATTCTTCAAAAGGGAAGGTGGGGGAGTCCCCTTGTCGGTTCCAGGTTTGTGCACGGGAGGGCGCCGAGAGGACGACGGCCCGCCATTTTTATTTCACAGTAAGTCAGGTGAAGTAGCTGCGACCCGGTACTTTGATGTTGAGTTTACTTCAGTAGTTGTTCGCGCGAGTAGATTTAATAGCTTTATAATAATACATTACAGCTTAGCGCTTGCAATTATTATAGTGTCTGTATAAAGAGAAGGAGACTATAGTACCATTGTGAAGTTAAGACAAGAATCATATCATAACAGTCTCACAAAATGTAGATTAATTTCATTAGTTTAATTTAGAAATAGTTAGTTTCAAGTAGTTATGACTCCTGTTTTAAGGGGGTGTAGTACTGTGAGCTGCGTCTTCTATGCAACATTTAACAACTCTTATGAGGTAATTTTGTTAGTCGTATTAGATAATAATACTCATTTTTAGTAAGTAGATTTCTTACACGTTCAAAGAGAGATGAAGTATTTATTTTATACAATTTTTTTTCCTACTGATCTTATTAATGCATTTTGATGACTTGTATTGTTAACATGTGTTCGTTCCCTCCAGCTGCTTGTCTTCTTCGTGGGTGAAGGATGTATTTTACTTGGAGTATTGACTGTACTTAACTAGTTGTGTTAGATTTAATAGTTATTTTAACATTTACAGTGTTACATATTATATATTATTAATATCAACTGTATAGTTAGATGACTTGCTAACCTGTGTTTTCTTTCTGTGTTCAGATCATCATTTTTACGCCACTTGTAAATTATTGTAAATTTACTGTTAACGTATTGGCAGAATTAAGCCAGTCATGTGACATTTGGTGACAATGACGTCATCTTATGTTCGAAAACAACGAGGCTATGAATTATATCATAAAATTAAAAAGGACCTCATACAGGTTCTATCTAAAGTAAAAACAGAAAGAAATTATTGTTCTGTGTTGTTAGAACTAGTAGGATTTCGACTTGTATAAATATTACATAGAATAAAAATTACGTTTGTGAAATATTATACATAATTTGTTGTACTTTTAAGACACATTGTAGAATTTAGCTGCCGTAGAGTAGAATTCCATAGTGATCCGCCCGGGTAGAGATTAGAGTAGTGACCCATGTAGTGCCCCTTTCATGAATCATTCACACCTCCTATAGTTTAGTTGACAGTGGTGTGCTGTTACTTCTAGTTGTGTAGGTAGGCAGACGGCCAAGTCCGAGCGCGTCGTCAAACGGATTGGACCGACGGGGCACCTTCCAGTCTGCACCTACAGCAACCATCTACAAAGATTAAATGGTACCAAGAAGATATAACACTTTCCTCCACAACATGTTCCCATCAGCATTGTTTGTGACGTCTGAGATTCTGCCACATTGTTTGATACGCTGCCTGGCAACTTTCACTTTGCACCCCGTTAACAAAGATGCATTTTACT